AAGAACAACCAGTGTTCTTAACCTCTGAGCCATCTCTCCAGCCCCTCAACTAAATATTTTTAAATTTTTAAATTTTTGAAATATATTTTATTGAGCTTTTGTAATTTCATACTGAAGTTCTTTTGACCCTCTCCCCCATACATGCCTCCCTCATCACCCCATCAGACCTCATACCTTCTGCCATTCGTTTTAAGTCCTATGTAGTCAAACATTTGTACCCAAATGTCCTTCAATGTAATTTCATCCACTGGAGTGTACTCAGCCCAACTAGAGATGGTATGTAAAGTATACTCTCCCTCACCCAGTAGCAATCAGTATCCTATCGTTCTCAGTCTAGTGCCAGCCCTCCACCCATTTCTTTCCTCTGCTTTGGGCTTTTCTTTAATTGTGTTGGCATGGGTCCTGTGCCTCACGCAACCATTTCCACAAGTTCACATGTGCAAGCTTACAGTGGCCTAAAAGCCTCTGCTTCCCTGTGTTCATTAACCAGACCTGGCACTTAGAATTTTTTCTGACCCCTCTTCCGCAATGGTCCCTGAGCTGTGATTGGGTGAGCTTCATATAGTACTCCTATTCTACATTCTTAAGTATCATATTCTTTAAAACTTGGCCAGTTGTGTCCTTCTGTGTGCATCACACTCTGTTGTATAAGGAAGCTTTACTGGTGAGAGTTGAGGGATGCATTAGTTTTCTCTCTACCCCTTGTTCCACTATGTTCTGTGAGCCTTAGTTGTAGAGGTTCATCTATAGATGTGTCACTAGTACTGGGCATCTCTCAGACGTACATTTCTGTGTCTGAACATATGTACAATTCTTCAGTAGCCTTCATCTGTTTCAAAAAGAAGCTTCTTTGATATGTGGTGTATGGTATGCTTGTCTGCAAATATAAGGATTGATATTTAGCATATAGTAAGAAATTTCATTTGTCTAGAGATATGAAAGAGATAGGGTTTTCTCTAGAATCTGGGTCCTCTCCAGCCATGTATGTATTTGGCTGAGTTTACAGTGCCACCCATGAGTTCAGTCCCATTGAGATGGCTTTAAGTCCAAATAGATAGCTGTTGATTTCCCTTCCCCTCAATTAACAGTGCCACTACTACGCCAATAGAGGTAGTTTTCCATGCCAGTCATTATGGTTATTAGGCTTTAGAACTGGGTTGAACCATTGATTGTTTTTGACCCTGTCTGTTTGCATATCATCATCTAACATTATGATAGCCAAACTTGGGTAAGAAGGCTTCCAGGTCAGTTCCTGCTGCATTGTTCTAGGTCCTAAACTTTGGTTAAAAGGCCTCCAGGTCAGTTCCTGCTCCATTGCTCTAAGTCCTGTAACTGAGCATGTCCAAGCATGTCTATTAGTTCTGGAAGATATCCAAGAGGTTTGTCGATAGGCTGTGTTATATTGGGAGTCTCCTGGACCACCCTCATCAACCACTCAAAGGGAGATCTCTTCTGTCTGAAACTGTGGTTCAGACACTGTATGTGCATTTCTCATGGGGTTTTGAGGGCACTGCATTTCCCTCTGGGTTTCTGAATCCCCCAAGATTCATTCACCTCTCCTGTTTTCTTCCATATGGTCTCCCTCCTCCTTCCTAGGTCCCAGCACCCACATTTTCCCCACCTTTCCCTGCAATAACACCTGCCTCTCACATATACATATATACCCCTGTCTTCTGACTTCCATCATCCCCCGCACCATGGCCTCTTCCACCACAATGAAGTGGGCTTTATTCCAGAGATGATTTGATATACATGTCAATAAATGTAATAAAACATATAAATGGTCTTAAAGACCAAAAATACATGGTCATCTCAATAGATGCAGAAACGGTCTTTGACAAAATCCAACATACATTCACGTTAAAAGTTCTAGAAGGAATTGGTCTCACATGAATATACCTCAACATAATTAAAACTATATCCAACAAATCCATGGCCAATATCATTCTAAATGGAAAAAAAATTTGGAAGCATCCCCACTAAAATCAGGAACCAGACATGACTGTGCACTATCTCCACTCCTTTTCAAAATTGTGCTTGAAACCCTTGCAAGAGCAATTAAACAAGACAAGGAAATTAAAGGAATACTAATTGGAAAAGAAGAGGTCAAATTAACTCTATTTTCAGATGATATTTTAAACATAAAAGATCCCAAAAATTTCTCTTGAAAACTGTTAGAAATGATTCTTATTTTCAGTAAATTGCTAGGTTACAAAATCAACTTACAAGAATCAGTAGAGAAACCCTTGCAAGAGCAATTAAACAAGACAAGGAAATTAAAGGAATACTAATTGGAAAAGAAGAGGTCAAATTAACTCTATTTTCAGATGATATTTTAAACATAAAAGATCCCAA